TGAGGTTTGCAAGTGATGATGGGATTTGTCCGTTAAAATTGTTAAGAGAGAGGCTTAGGTCAGTTAGTTGAGATAAGTTACCTACGGAAGCTGGAATGGGGCCAGAAAACTGATTATTGAAAAGGGAAACAGAGGTAAGTTGTGTGAGGTTTGCAATTTCTGCTGGAACTTGGCCTGAAAATTGAGAAGAAGAGATATCAAGATACTTTAGTCTAGTAAACTTACTGATTTCTGGTGGAATCTTGGAAAGCCTAAAATCATTGGAGGCAAGATTGAGGCTCTCTAGGTTTTTGAGGAGAAAAAGAGTGCTGTTCGAAGGAAAGGTGCCAGAAAGGCAATCGTAGCTGAGATCAAGGGCAATTACATGACCTGTGACATGATCACAGCTAATCCCATCCCAGGAGCAGCAGTCTATACCTTCCTTCCAAGACTCAATCTTAGAATAATTAGCTTCAGTATAACAAACAGTGTAATTGATGGAAAAGGATGTCTTGAATTGCAACAAAGCAGCAGCCTCCTCATGAGAGCAGAGGTGTGTTGTTGAGAAGGAAGAAGCATGTAAAGAGGATGCGAAGGTAGTTTTAAGGCAGAGGAAGAGGAAAATGAGGCAAAGTGGCCTAGAGAGCATTGTGAAAATTCCCATATTTCTGTTTGGCGGAATAGAGTACTCTAGAAGAGTATATATAGAGTGTTCCAAATTGAGGTATGCTAATAATTGAATATATTCCATCAAAACAAAAAATAAATGAATATAGAATACCAAGAAAGCAATTTCAAGTGAACACCTTAAATTAATGCGACTGATTGTCATTGACTAACATTGAAGAATAGCTAATAAATGGAATCAACTCTGCAAATGCAATGACTCTTTTGAGTTTTTAGACATTATAAAGAATAACAAGTAAAACTAAAGCAAAAACCAAGTCTTTTTCAAACCGCATCAATATTAGTTGGAAAGCAATTCAAATTAATTATTTATGATTATCAAGACTTTGACCAATCGAAGATAGGCATGTATATGTGTTTGATCCCACCTTGCAATCTTTACAAATAGACCAAAAGGGCTCACCTTTTAGCATATAAATACAATATTTAACTATACGAGATTTAATTAGTTAATTTTTTTGATTACTTTCCGACTTCTTTGAAACCCTTATATAAAGTATGCAAACTAAAATTAAAGCAAGGCCCAGGAACATTATTAAAACAAAAGAAATCAAAATGACAGAATATTAGATATTTATTTTGAACAAATATGTATGTAAAGAACACAATGAATTGTCTTCATACAATTATCTATCCTAATAAGAGCAAAAAAAAAAAAAAATCATATTGCTAACTCTTCGTTGTTGTCATCACAAAACTTTGCTCATCGTCAATTATTAGGATTTGATGTTCAATTGTTGAAATTAAGAGATTTTCTACTAATAAGAACGAAACTTTTCAATATATTTTTAATTAAGGATATAACATGTTTCTTTTTATTAATCAAAGCTAGCACCTTTAGAAATTTTATAATTAAAGATATAACTTTTATGATTTGAATAAAAGAAATTAAGTGAATGTGCACAAGATTATACATGATTGATTAAAAAACTTTATGAAGATAGTAGTTTTGATTAGTAAGAAAAAATGACCATTTTTTAATAAAAAAATATATCATTATTGTACAAAATATATAAAAAGAAGGGTTCGAATTTGTACAATAGCCTGCCACAAGCTGATCAAAAAATTGATGACTTCTTTTCCACAAATTTTGCATAACACCAAACGTAATTAGAGATATTCTTGCTAGGAAAAAATGTTATATTTGTACCATGTAAATTATATTAAATTACACAATTATAATTATTAAATAAGATGATATCCTTTGATCTTGGAGTCCTATTTTACAATTTGATATAATTAAAACTATAAAATTGAGCACTCTTCTTACTAATCAACTATGAGAATTAAATATTGATGGTACAAAGAATTTGGGCTCATTCCGTGTGCAAGTTGGAAAACTTTTTCCTACTTTTTATGTTCAAGAACACCCATCTCTTTATGGTGTAGAAAATGACAAATAGGATTTAGATATTGATGAGCTAAATTTACTCTAGCAAAAGTATTAGTCAATTCAAATAATATAATGATGAGAATAAAGTACTATCTCATAGAGATTGTAGATTAATAAAATTCAAAAAATAACTAATTTTAATATTATTTAAAGAATTGAAATTAAATGATTTGAATCAAATAATTAACCAAAACAATTAAAGAAAAACTAAATTGATTTTAAGTAACACCAAAAGTTAAAATTCTAAAGCATCCGATTTCACCATAATCAACTAATATAGAATTTAGATTAATATACTTCCAAGGTATTTGTTATTTATGTGATAGCAAGATTTCCTATCTTATTTGATATACTTTCTCAAGTTATACCAAACCTACTTCATTTATTAAGTTACTATATTTCTATATGAATTTAAATAGATAAAAATGCATTATATACTTTGAAATTTCCTAATTTATGTAGAAAATTAAGTCTATTTATCACTAATACTGCATGAATCACGTTGATTTATCTCTGATTTTCGTTCATTTCATTATATATATTACTAGAAGTTATTGCATAAAATCTTCTATCGATCTCAATTATACTCTTCAAATTAGTTTTAATGGTAGTCAATCATTAAAAAACATTAAAAAGAATATTATATACTCTACATAAAATAATAAATCTTGAAAATATAAAAATTATAAAATTCTATATTAAATTGATTAAGTTATATGATAACCTTAGATGGTTAAATCAATTCATAATTAAAGAAAAAAAAATCAATAATTCCATGATGAATATACGAATATACGAATATACGAATATCCAACATCATAAAATAAAATTTCAGAACAAGTAAAACCAGTTTGACAATTTAAGATCTCAACTGTTGATCTTCATTTGTTATTGAATTCCTCTTAGCCGTCTCTCTTAGTCTTCTCCCAAAAGTCCTAAAATTGATTTTTGAATGGGTATTTAGTAGGACTTAGAACAGAATAGGATCTTCCCTTGTTATTGAATTCCTTTTAGCCGTCTCTCTTAGTCTTCTCCCAAAAGTCTTAAAATTGATTTTTGAATGGGTATTTAGTAGGACTTAGAACAAAATAGGAAACTTGAATTTGGGGCGGCTGAACGCACGGTGCTAACACCCCAAATTACGTGTTGATACAGAACCAGAAACAGAAGCTCTAATTCTGGATCCTTAACACATGGTGCTGACACCCCGATTATGTTTTGACACCACACCCGTGTCGGGTTTCTGCCCTCTCTTTGCAATTTCTTCAATGGTAAAATTACAAATGTAGTCCTTCAGCTGTTGTATGATGAGAACTAAGATCCCAAAACTCAAGATGCATTCATTTTAGGTCCTAAAGAGTGGCCTTTCTTCTTGTAATTCAGTCCCTCAACTTTTGAAAGATATTTAATTAATCCCAAAAATCCACTAGTCTACTTATTCTATCTCTCTATCACCGATTCCCTAATTTCTTTCAAGTAAAAGCCCATCTAACCAAGCAGGGCCATAAATTCTTCTCAATTCTCTCCACAAACGTCGAGCAACCACTCAATTCTTCTCAATTTTCTCCATGTTCGATTCCCTATTGTTCTTCCTTATCTACAAGTGATTGATGCCCGCTATTGAATATTCAATTGAGTATCTTATTTTAAATATAAATAAAATGACTATACATATTTAATTTTTTGAAAGAAATTTATAAACTTAATTATTTAAGGTAATGATGTAAAAACAAACTTTTTATACTATTTTTTAATACAATCTCTAAGTATCATTAAACGGATAGATACATTTAATATTATGAATCCTAAATAAATAAAAAGAACTAATTTTTTAAATGATACCAAGATTGTACAAAAATATAGTATAAAAAAATTCTCACTAATTTATTTTTCCATGATAATTGGCCTTAAAAGAATCATATCAAGAAAAAGATGTAAAGTTAACAATACTAATTACTCTCAATCTGAAATTGACAAAGCCTGGAAAATAAGAAAAAAAGTTGGGCTCTTCTTACTAATCAACTATGAGAATTAAATATTGATGGGCTCTTCTTACTAGTGATGAGCTAAATTTACTCTAACAAAAGTATTAGTCAATTTAAGTAATATAATGATGAGAATAAAGTATTACCTCATAGAGTACCAAAAATAACTAATTTTAATTTTATTTAAAGAATTGAAATTAAATAATTTGAATAAAATAATTAACCAAAACAATTAAAGAAAAACTAAATTGATTTTAAGTAACACTAAGAGTTAAAATTTTAAGGCATCCAATTTCACCATAATCAACTAATATAGAATTTAGATTAATATACTTCCAAAGTATTTATTATTCATGTGATAGCAAGATTTTCAAGTTATACCAAACCTGTCTTCACTTATTAACTCACTATATTTTTATGTGAATTCAAATAGATAAAAATGCATTATATGCTGTGAAATTTCCTAATTTATGCAGAAAATTAAGTCTACTTATCACTAATACTGCATGAATCATGTTGGTTTATCTCTGATTTTCGTTCAATTCATGATATATATTACTAGAAGTTATTGTATAAAATCTTCTATTGGTCTCAATTATACTCTTCAAATCAGTTTTAATGGTAGCCAATCATTAAAAAACATTAAAAACAATACTATATACTTTACATAAAATAATAAATCTTAAAAATATAAAAATCTTAAAAATATAAAAATCATAAAATTTTATATTAAATTAATTAAGTTACATCATAATCTTTGATGATTAAATTAGTTCATATAATTAAAGAAAAAAAAATCAATAATTCCATGATGAATATATGAGTATCCAACATCATAAAATAAAATTTCAAAACAAATAAAACTAGTTTGACAATTTAAGATCTCAACTGTTGATCTTCCTTTGTTATTGAATTCCTCTGTGTCGTCTCTCTTAGTCTTCTCCCAAAAGTCCTAAAAGTGATTTTTGAATGGGTATTTAGTAGGACTTAGAACAGAATAGGATCTTTCTTTATTATTGAATTCCTCTTAACCATCTCTCTTAGTCTTCTCCCAAAGTCTTAAAATTGATTTTTGAATGAATATTTAGTAGGACTTAGAACAGAATAGGATCTTCCTTTATTATTGAATTCCTCTTAGCCGTTTCTCTTAGTCTTCTCCCAAAAGTCTTAAAATTGATTTTTGAATGGGTATTTAGTAGGACTTAGAACAGAATAGGAAACTTGAATTTTGGACGTTGAACGCATGGTGCTAACACCCCAAATTACATATCGACACAGAACAGGAACAGAAATAGAAACTCTAGTTCTGGATCCCTAACACATGGTGCTGACACCCCGATTATGTGTCGACACCACACCTGTGTCGGGTTTCTACCCTCTTTGCAATTTCTTCAATGGTAAAATTACAAATCTGGTCCTTCATCTGTTTTACGATGAAAACTGAGATCCCAAAACTCAATATTCATTCATTTAGGTCCTAGAGAGGGGCCTTTCTTCTTGTAATTCAGTCCCTCAACTTTTGAAAGATATTTAATTAATCTCAAAAACTCCTACTATTATGCATTTAAGTCTTTTTCTACACGAATAATGACAACTATGTAAAAATCTATTGAAAATCACATATTATTCTCACAAATAGTAATAAAATCAAAGTTAATATAATAAATTAAAACATATAAAAATGATTCTTATCAGATATAATAATAAATATAAAAAAATATTATTTTTTTATAAAGTCTTGTTGTTTGTCTTATTGTAAGATCTTAAAATTACTTTTTCATTAGAGTGTTGAAAATGGCAATAAAATTTAAAATATAACAACAAATATTAAAAAACACTAATCTTTTTGAAAAATTTTATTGTTTTACTTTAAGATCTTAACACTGGTTTTTATTAGTGTAGAAAAAGGTAATGGAATCTAAAATATAATAACCAATATTAAAAACACATATCTCTTTGGCAAATCATGGTGTTTTACCTACTTGAAGACCTTAAGATTGTTTTTTTTT